GTGGAACCGCAGGTAGTTTCGAACTTCTGACCTTGAGGTTAGCAGCCCGACTCATAACTACTATGCTATCAGAGCTCCTTGGGTCATTAGTAATCATGTAAAAATTGGGTTGCTGTTTTTACCACAGACTTTAATCACAGGGTATGGTAGTACTAAAAGACATCCTAAGGAATCTCCTAGATTTCACATATTCTTTAAATCAATTATGCAATGTTAACCTAATTTCTCCTTGGTAATTAAAATCAATCACAACATTCAATACTGTAACTCCCTTATTTGTCTGTTGAACAAAAGGCATGAGTTGTGCAAAATAACCAGGGGGCATAATTAAAACTTCCCATTCAATGGAATCAGTGCTGTGTCTCCACTGATGCCTCCCTTTGGATCTAAAACATCCAGTACCAAAGAGCATAGGGTTGTAGTGACAGGAGGCAAAATTTTTGCAAGTGAGTCACAAGAAGTAATAGTGATTGGTGCCACTCCCATTGCCACACCTTGGTTCCTGGACTCATGAATCCTCACTATTGCAGAAGTACCACTATATATTGGATGCTGGTTTCAAATATATACAGTATTTGCAGAATATTGTCCCAAACCTGCAACCTATTGCTGTCTTGCTTTTGGCTTGTTACTGGACCTTAGTAGATTACTGGACACTGCAATTGTGTTTCTAGAAGGCCATTCCATATTTTATGAAGCCAACTGTTTCAGGATGATGAGGAACACGGTTAAGACCATTGACTGCTAAATTACATGAGCATAGGTCCAATGCTGTACTTCATTTACTGTGAAGTGGTCCTTTGATCCAAGGCGATGCTGTATAGGATACCATGGCAGTGGATAAGTCATTCGTAAGTCAATGGATGGTAGTTTTGATAGAAACATTGCATACAGAAAAAGAAAATTCATATCCAAAATGTCTATTCCGTTAAAAACAAAACACTGCCCTTTCTGTGATGGAAGTGGTACAATGTAATCAACCTTCCACCAGGTGGCTAGCTAATGTCCATGAGGAATGGTCCCATATCCGGGACACAGTGTTAGTTTCTGCTGCTGGCAAATTGAGCACTCAGCAGTGACTGTAGCTAAGGCAGCCTTGGTGAGTGGAAGCCCATGATGCTGAGCCGAAGCAATACCTCTATCTCTGCCCATTGAGCAATGGTAGAAGTGGTTGGAGAAAGAGGATGATTAGTTTTCACAGAATGTGTCATCCTGTCTGCTTGACTGCTGAAATCCTCCTTTGACAAGGTAACCTTTTGGTGTGCATTCACCTGCCACAAATATCTTTTTTTTTTTTTTTTGCCCATTCAGTGTATATAATATCTATATACATATTCCCCACAGTTTCATGTCACCAATTTCCCAAACAAGTTCCATCCAAGCCAAACCATTGGCCACAGTCCATGGATCACCCTACTATCACACATCTAGCCACTTCTTCTAAACAAAATAAGCAACTAAATGTACTGCTCAAGGTTTTATGCATTGGGAGGATTTCCCTTCACCACTCCTTCAGGGAAGTTCCAGAAAGGGGCCATAGTGCTGTTTCTGTCTACTTTCAAGTAGTTACTCCCCATGAGGCCATAGACGTAGACTGGGAGAGGGCTGATACAGAGACAGGACTGGTGACAAAGAGCATTTGGGTCACTTCCTCATGCAATGTACTTGTTTCTTCAGGTCCTGCTCAAGTCCAGTCTCATATATACCATTTGCATTTAATGATAGAGTGTTGTTGTGCACGTCCAAACTCATGACTTTGTGTGTCAGATAACACCCAGTATAATGGATAGCTCGGGTCCCATGGTGTTCAGTTTCTAGGAAGGTCCAGTAACAAGTCAAAAGTTGATTCTCAAAAAGAGAGTGGTAGATGGAGTGGGGGGAGAAATAAAATAAAATGCTGATCTGAATTTTTAAAACAGCAATAAGAATTACATTGTAGGCAGTTCTCAACGAGCCTCTCTCCCTTCTGTTAAGTGCTGTCAGGTCTGTTTGACAAATAGCTACCCAGTGTAGTGTTTCCCAGGAGCAGCTGGTGAGTTTGAACCACCAACCTTGAGGTTCAAGCGAACCTTGAGATTCAGTGCTTATCCTACAGCATCACACCAGGACTTTCCCCTCTAAATTCCTCCAAATTTATACTTGCAGGTTTGGGAGGGCATCAAGGATGTGGGCCCTGTCTGTCATTTAAAGTCTGAGAGCAGCACACACAGAAACAAATAAAGATTTAGTTTAATTTATCGAACATGTTTTTTTAAACAGTAAAACAGAACACAGAAACGTGTGTTTGTGTGCTTTCATTCTAGAAACTCTGTTACATCAAAGACAAAAGACAAGAGTTGCTTCTTATTTCCAATGGAAAGAAGCTATATATTAGAGAAGGCAAAAGACAGAGCCTATCTTGGCAAAGGATTTGGGAATTTGAGAAGCTGCAGTCTCCACTTTAGGAAGTATTAATATGCCATTTCGCTGGGGGAAAGAAAAAAAAAAAAAAGAAAGACAGTGTAAATCTGCTTTCGTTTTCATTGCCTGTCTAGTTTTGGAGCCAGAGCAAACATGGCTGGTAAGTGTTTCTGGTTTTTCTGTTGTTTCTAGCTGTGTTTTGGGCAGATTACATCTCTGGTGAAAGAAAGAGGGAATTTATCAGGCAAAAACGTTTTACTCTGGGGATCCAGCGAAATAGGGGGTTTAGAGGGGTCGCAATAAAATACTAGTTTTTAAATTAATATGTTACATCTTCTAGAAAGAAAAGAATAAAATAAAATCTGCATCTAGGTTTTAAAATGTTTTCTATTTCAGTCTTTGTTTTTGGCTCTTACTGAACTGGAATTTGCACCCATTTTATATCGGTTCTAAAAATTCAAAGTCTAATCTGGCAGAGACTTGTCCGTGAGAAGCCATGCAGTTGAGCAGAGTAATTTGCATTTCCTCCAAACTTTTGTTCTCTCCATGACCTTTCGTTTCCAGCAGAGAGCAAAGGAGCACCAGCATGGTGCCTTCCATCTCTGTATACCTATCCAGCTGGATAAAGAAAACAAAAATCTCATAGTTTATAAGCATGATTCGTTTAGATTTTAGGGATGTGCAATTGAATATAATGTATTTTCCGAATATATTTTGTATATAACGTATGTTTTGATAGAAGTGACAGAAAGTGGAGGAATTCTGGCTGATACAAAGCTTCCATCAAGCCAGCTATCTCAAAACTTCTACTGAAGTGACATCACTTCTCTGACCTTTAGTTTTCTCATGTGTTAAAAAAGGAGAGGGTTAAACATGATCTTTGTTACTCTCAGTGTGGTCCTGGGAACGGCAGCTTCCACTTCATATCTAATGTGTTGACAGTATCAGTTGTGGCAGCTGATAGGAGTTGCTGAGCCATTCGCACTCGTTGTTGTTGTTAAGTGCCAACGAGTCGGTTTCGACCCTTAGCGACCCTGTATAGGGTTTCCGAGGAGCGACTAGTGAGCTTGAACCGCCAACCTTGCAGTTCAAATGACTTTGCAGTCTGGCGCATCAATTCACAGCACCACACCAGGACTCCTATTCTGACTTTTAGCAATCCTTCATAGGATTTCTGAGGAGTGGCTAAGAACCGCTGACCTTGAGGTTAGCAGTGCAGTGCTTATCCTACAGTGTCACACCAGGACTACATCTGTTGTTGTTAAGTGCAGTCGAGTTGATTCTGACCCATAGTGACCCTGTACTGGGTTCCCAGAAGCAGCTGGTGAGCTTGAACCACAGACCTTGCAGTTCAAACAACTCTGCAGTCTGATGCATTAGCCCACAGAGCCACACCAGGACTCCAGGACCACATCTACTATGGTATTATTTTTACAGCTCAGAAATCACCAAAAGAGGATCCTGTCAAGGAGGTAAAATCAATTGCAAAGAACATAATTGATGGTCTTTTTGATAACTTGATGGAGAAGAATGTGTTAAATGGAGAAGAGTTAAACCGATTGGCAAAAAGAGTGAACGTCATTGTGAATACGACTGAAAATCTGGTTGAAGATATCACTGAGAAAACACAAAAGACGGGAAAAATATTTATGGATTTCTTCTTAAACCACAAGAAACAACTGAGTTTAAGTGAGTAACTTTGGTCCAAGGTCTGATAGCTTATTCTTTCCTGCTGTTCTTCTATGTAGTGGACTTTTTTATTTCTCCTTGTTTGCATTGGAAGTATAAACTACCCACTTTTGCCAGACTCTCTATTCTATTTGGTGGTTGGTGGCTATGTGCTGTGGAGTCGGTTCCGACTCATAGAGACCACGTACAGGGTTTCTGAGACTGTAAATCTTTACGGGAGCAGAAAGCCTCATCTTTCTCCCACAGAACAGCTGGTAGTTTCAAACTGCTGAACTTGAGGTTAGCAGCCCAATTCATAACTACGCTACCAGAGCTCCTTTCTGTGCTACCAGAGGTCCTTTTTAGCACTGAAAATGACTGGAACTACCCCCATTCAAGCATTCCCAATGGCTGTATCCTGTTGCATAATATCTCTCTCTTCGCCCAACCCCCACCGAAGTTATCACTTTTAATCTTTCTTTGAAATGTGTGTATTCACTATATCATAAATCCCCCTTCTAAAATGTAATCACCATGAGGCTGAGACCTTTGTCTGCTTTGTTCATGAATACATTCCAAACCCAGAGAATTGTGTTTGATATGCAGTGAAAATCCAAACCAAACCCCCTGCCATTGGATCTATTCCTACTCCTATTGGCCCTACAGAACATAGTAGAATTGCTCCTTGGTGGTTTCCGGGAATTAAAAAATTTACATGAGTAGACAATCCCGTCTTTTTCTTGAGCAACACCTGGTGGGTTTGAGCTGCTGATACCTAATCCACAGAACCACTAGGACTCCTTGACATGTAGCAGGCACTCAGTAAATATGTGTAAAGCTATGTTGAATTCAGTGGAAGTGTTTAGTCAGTCTAAGCTACTCTGGTTGTACAATATGGACTGTAAAGTCATTCCCAGATGCAGAACGTTCATTAGGAAAAATTCACTATCTTCTACCTACCTGTGGCATAGCCCTTGGGATAAGTCTATGAAAGTCTAAATGCCTGCAAGTTAAGGGAAGGCATAGGGATTTGAGAATCAATTAAAAATATTTTTTCTCTCTCTAGATAATCGTTTGATCAGCAATATTTCCTGTAAAACTAATATTTCCTATAAAAGATAGAAAATATGTTTGTTTTTGTGACTCATATGGTCTCTTTCACAATGACTCAATATTGCATTAGTAGCACGAAAGAAGCCATGAACAATATATAAACAAATGAGCAGGAATATGTTTCAGAATAATGTTATTTGAAAAAACAGATAGCAGGCTGAGTTTGGCCTGCAGGATGTAGCATGCCAATTTTGCTCTAAAGTATAATGTAGACATGAGTATAGGGGGCTTCCAAAAGTTTGTGGAAATATTCCATTATATTTTAATTCTATTTTTACATACATTTTTTGAAGCTTCCTTGTATATTCCTTTTTCTTGAGGGTTTCCTCTGGATTTTTTTTTTTTTTAATTATTATTGTGAATTGAGTGATACTTTACATCGGAGAATATCAGTTCCACAATCACTGTTTCATTGCAATGATGACAGTGTCCTCCGTGCATCATCATTCAACAATATGTGCTTCTATTCCTTTTTTTTTTTTTTTGATGTACACAGAAACACTCAGGAATATAAAATCATTTAAACAACCAAAGGGCACATTCTGCAATTCTGCTTCTTGGCCACCATTTCTTCGTCTTTTTCTTTCCATGAATCTAGAATCCTCAGCCGCTCCCTCTCTCCATATCATCATCTCTGGCTCCATCTCTGCTGTTGCTGCTTCTATGGATAGGATCCCACATTCTGCTCGTGTTCCTCTCCCTAGATGGTCCTTGGATCCTCTGTTCCTGGACTGTAAGATTAACTACTCTGCATGGGCTATTCTTGATCTGTCAGGTATACATAAGAAATCAAGGAGGATAAAAATATATAATTCTACTGAAAGGATCTATTGATTCTTTCAAGTTTATTTCATGATTTTGGGCCATTGTATATTGGATAAAATCATCATTTTGTTTGTAAACAAGTCAGGTCTCTAGAATCCATCATCCATCCAGAAATAGTTTTTCAGTGCTAATTTTTTTTTTAAGTTTTTATTGTGAATTGAATGATAATTTACATGGGGGGACATCAGTTTTACATTCACCATTTCATTGCAATGATAACAATCTCCTCTGTGCATCATCATTCAACAGTATTTACTTCTATTCCCTCTGTTCTTTTTTTCAGGGGGCAGCATGGGGGATATACACAAAAACACTCAGAAATATATAATCATTTAAACAACCAAAGGACACATTCTGCAAGCCTGCCTCCTGACCACTAGCACCTCGCTGCTAGCACACAGACTTTCTCATTCCATGAGTCTAGAATCCTCAGCTTCTCTCTCTGTCTTTGCCCTCATCTCTGTCTCCTTCTCTGGACAGAGTCCCACATTCCACTCATGCTCTTCTCTCTTGATGGTCCTAGAATTCTCTGTTCCTGGACTGTAAAATTAACGACTCCCCTTTTTTTATTATAAAACCTCTATCTTTACAGTTGTGGCAGTCCCAATTAGTCTTGATAACAATGATTCACTATTGAATCATAAGAATCTTATCCCCTCATTACAGCAAGGCTCATTCCCACACCCTCCATATACAGAGTAGACACAGATGGGCAACTTGGACATTGGCTACCCAAAATGGGGGAGCTACAAAGGCAAGAAGTGACTGGCTTACAAGCTTTCAAGAAGGAGCCTAGATCCAGAGGGCGTGGAGGAAAGTAGAATCTCCATTGAGTAGTATTCAATCTGTCTAGGCGGGGCTGATGAAATGAAATGCAGATCGGTCTCTTATGGTACAATAGTGAATAATTGCTATCAGGACTGACTATGAGGGTTGGAAATGTAAAGGTAAATGTTTTGTAGCAAAAGGAGGGGAGTGATTGACTTTACAGTTTAGGAGCGGAGTTTGTTGGGACCATCAAGGGAGAAGAGCAGAGTGCAGGACACTACCCAGAAAAGTAGTGAGGCCAGTGAAAGAAGCAGAGAAGATGATGTGGAGAGATGGAGCAGCTAGGGACTCTAGATCTAGAGAGGGACAGAGACTGTGTGCAGAGGACTGGGGGGCAGGCTTGCAGGGTATACCCTTTGGTTAATTGATGATGCATGGAAGGGAATGTAACCATGGCAATGAAACTATATACGATAGGTTAATGTTCTCCCATGTAACCTATCACATAATTCACAATAAAACATTTTTTTTTTTTAAAAAGAATCTTATCCCCATCTCTGGTAGCATAGTGGTTGCAAGTTGGGCTGTGAATCTCAAGGTCAGCAGTTCGAAACTACTGGAGGGATTGTGAATGAAAGATGAGGCTTTCTGGAATTCTTTTTAATCTATCTATTTAATTTTTTTTTTTAAGTATTATCTGATTTGTGTATACTGACATGAATTTTCATTCCTTCAAAAGGAAAAGGTTGTTATATAAAAACCTTGATTAAATAATTTTTATTATTCCCTGAAATATGTAAGCAGGAAAATAAGTAGATTTTCTTTATATCATGGAAAGTCTGCCTTCTCATTCAGTTGGCAGAAGATACCTATCCATGAAAAGATGCTTGAAATTTACAGCATAGGAAAGAGTTTCCATGTTCTGTAGGGAAACCTCATGTTGAACATGCTCATGTTCTTGTAGTACTAGGGAAGAAATTGTAGGTTCTAGAAATCAAGTACTACTAGCAAACCAGTTTCTCATATTATTTCAGAATCTCATTCGGAAAGTGATGATGATGATGCATCTGAGAAGAATTCTGAATCATCTTCAGGTAACTAACTTCAATTTCTAGATCACAAATAGACAAACTTAGATCTCAACTGTTGTTGTGAAGTGCTGTCGAGTCGGTTCTGACCCATAGTGACCCTGTATAGGGTTTCCAAGGAGCAGCTGGTGAATTTGAACTGCCGACCTTGCAGTTCAAATGCCTTTGCAGTCTGGCGCATTAATCCACAGTGCCACACCAGGACTCCACTATAGGGAAAGGTAATCCAAATAAGAACTAGGAAACATGTTTAGTCAGTTTTGGCCTTTGCAAGCAGTCTTTAGAATAGATCGTTTATTCTCCGTATTTTGTTCATTCCATCTCAGAAGAAGAAGACGAAAACCAAGATAGTGAACCTGAGGAAAATGCTGCATCAGCCCAGGCATTGGCTCTCCCTTCAACAGGTAACTACTAGCAAATCCACTGGCTGATGGGAACCCTCAGATACCACTTGCAAGGATATAGCTGAATAGGGGTCCTGTGCTATAGCAAACATTCTGAACTCTCTCTCAACTCTGCTCTTATTAAAGTCCCTATAGTAATGTGAGAACTTATGCCTCTGCCTTTTAATTTTTCTCAGAATTTCAAAATGAAAGTGAAGACGATGAAACTGAGGAGAATGCTGAATTGGCCCAGGCATCATTTCTACCTCGGACAGGTAATAGTCATCCAGGGACATATAATAATATTATTTGAGCTAAGTCTAATGACAAGAGGTCCTCTGGGGTAGTGGAAAGGGAACTGGAGTGAAAGACATTGAGTCTTGTTCTGCATTGATTAGCCTATAGTGTTAATATAACTCTGGTGTTAATATTCCCCAACTTTCTGAGACTCGTGTTTTAAAATGGGATTAGTAATATTTTTATATTACTATAAAACACCAAAGATATAAGAAACTACCGTCTGCAGCCAACAGGAAAAGAATGTGGCTAAGAAAAACATATATAAAGAGAAAAACATAAAACATAGCTCAGTATGACATCTTACACTGTCACCAAAGATACTCATGAATTTGGGGGCCACATTAAAGAATTACAGGGTCTAAACTGATGATACTATTGTTGTAGTAGTTAGGTGTGTCCAGTCTGTTTTGACTCATAGAGACTATGCATAACAGAACAAAACATGGTTCAGTCCTGGGCCAACTCACAATCATAGGTGTGCTCTATAGAGTATAGAATATGTTGTTTTCTGACCACCATAGTTTCAGAAATTGTGAACAAACTTATAAAGGAATGAGAACCTTGTAACCTATGTTGTTGTTGTTATGTGCCGTGGAGTCGGTTCCAACTCATAGTGACCCTGCACAGGGTTTCTGAGGCTGTAAATCTTTATGGGAGCAGAAAGCCTCATCTTTCTCCTGCGGAACACCTATATTCGTCATTAATTCAGCATCTATCAATTGTAACCCTACATATGCTGTTCTAGCTGCTGGGTTTTTAGCAATAAACAAGATAGATAACAATTCGCTTTCATGAAGTTTAAATTATAGTAAATATAAATATATTAAGAAATATAGAAAACAAATTATAAAGAATGTACAAGAGAGGATTAGGACAGAGAAAGCAAGGTGTGAATATGGTTGGTGGGAGGGTATGTGAACTAGAATGATCAGTTATGGCCTTTCTGTTGGGATGGTATTTGCATATATATTTGACAATGGAGAGTGGGTCATGACAAGCTTTAAGGCAAAAAACATTCATGAGAAGGGACGAGCAGGGAAGGAATAATTTTGTATTGTGAGAGGCTCATAGAGAAGGACTTCAGACTGTAGAATAGGAATTATGGAAAGTGTGGTAAAAGAAACTGCCAGTTAGACAGGCCATAACACATAGTGCCCTTGAGTCAGTGGGAAATTATTTGAGTTTTATTTTAAAAGAAACCTTTGGAAGTTTTTAAGCAAAGGATAACAGATAAATATTAAAGACTACTTGAATATTTCACTAATGGAAAAATAGTTTTTTTTAAGGGAGTATCAATGGA